CTGGAGGCGTTCGGCTTATGTCGCTCCCCGAAGGTGCGGGAACATGACCGTGAAACTCTTCTGCACCCTTTCTAGAACCATTTGGTCCTTCTTCAGATTAGGGGACCAAGCTTGTACGCAGTACTCAAGATGCGGCCGAACGAAGGCCATGACGCTTTGCTTGCTTCAGTGACTATATCTTCTGGCAATGCGTTTCAGTGAGTAATTACCCTGAAGGTGAAGAATTGTGGTGCGGGGTTGAGGTTTGTATAGCTTTTTGCTATTAACCGTGTTCCACCCGTGGGGGGGGGTAAAATGAAAAACTTGTCTACTAGGATCGAGGAGAACAGGTAGTGTAGAAGAAATAATTCACCCCTAATTCGTCTGACTTTCAGAGGATACAGATCAAGCTCCACTAAACGTTCAGGATAGGGAAGGTGTCGCAATCCAGCCACCGTTTTTGTTGCCGCTCTTTGAACTCGTTCAAGAACATCACGATCACGGATCAGGCCGGAGTGAAGAAATTGACTACCATATTCTAGGAGAGAACGGATATATGTGCCAAAAATAAGTGGAAAGTGTTTCTTGGTGATATGGGGGAAAGACCTTCTAAAAAGGTGAAGAACACGGAACGCAGATTTGCTGGCTTACTGGTTATGGTGCGAAGCATAGGACCTTGTGAAAGTTGGTATGCTGAAGAGGTTGCGTACCACTTATAAGAAACGAGACGGGAGGGGAGTTCTCAAAAGTAAGGCCTACACACTTGTCATCATTGATGGGCAGATTCCGTTCAACGGACCAGTGTTTAACGGCATCGATAGATATCTGTAGCATGCGGGTATCTGTACTCCAGATAGTGACATCATCTGCGTACATAGCTGCGTTTGCAGGTTATGCACTGGGTGGATCATTAATATAAATAAGGAAGAGAAGAGGATCGAGAACAGATCCCGGAGTGACACCGGTTGTAATAGGGGTAGGTTTGGATACTGTACCGTTTAACCTTACAGAAAACGTGCGGTGAGCTCAGGAGGTCAGCCACAAGCCATTTTCCATGACTCACAGTGCATCCCTTACCAACCCGGAGGATTCCTCAGCTGCTTGGGTTCCCGGTCGATTCTGCTTCTTCTCCCTCCAGGTGGCAGATTCGGCGGATATCTCGCAGGGTTTCACCGTCTGCCGTTTTCACTTTAACCGTGCGTACTAGCCCGTTCTAAAACAAGAGGCATTCTTTGATGGCCGGCAGGGGCAAGTTATCTCGCCGCAATCGTTCATCTGCAAACAGTACTATGTTACCAACTCGAAAGTTCCTTTATGTAAGTATACATTTCCGGCGTGCCTGTAGGGTAGGTAAGTACTCTCGGACCCAACACTTCCAGAAAACTCCTGCTAGGAAGGTGGCCTGTCTCCAGCTGCTCGAGCAACATTTCTTGATAATTCTTGGTACCGCCAGTTCGTGATTCCGTCTCAAAAGTATCAAGTCGTTCGGCGTAAGCGAAAAACCCGGGGCTTCACTCGCGACAGGTGTCAAGGGCCGATAGTTCAATATGCGCTCCACGTCGATCAGGGCCGTGTTCAGGATCTCGTCGTCAATGGACTGTTGGTTGCATACAGCCAATAGGATCCTTCTCACCTACCTGATCATCCATTCCCAAACCCCACCTCTATGGCCAGCGTATGGTGAGTTGAAGTGCCATTGGATAGTTTGGGAGGTCAGTCGCTTATGTAGTTCGCTCTGGTCAACTCGAAATGATGCTCTCCTGTCTCCGCGAACGGCCGACCCCCGTTCGAACCCTGAATTCGGATAGAGTTGCCATCAGCTACATTTCGATTACCGCACTTTGACGGCGGCAGAACATACATCTATCGATGATCCCCTTTAGTGCGGTTCTACCACGTGTTATCCAAAATCTCTCCCGAATGGCATTCAGTAGGTGGTTAGCCCCTACGTGCCCCTTTTTACGTGAAGGTGGCGTATAAGCGAGGTGGTGACAGGGCTACCGGCCGGCAGAATGATCGGATATCTAGCCTCGAATTCCAAGAAAGAATTGTCCAGGCTCCCTCCCACGCGTAATAACCCTTCAGCCAGTATAGGGTTCAGCCTACGCCACGCGCATCGTTGGATTGCAGTCCGTTTTGGGTTCTTCCCTGCATTCCCTTCCAACGTCCTTGTTTCGAGGGGAAATGCTGCCGTCGTACTAATCTCACGACGTTCTGCTCAGCTCTCATTAGGTCGTCAGTCGATAAAGTTCCCACACGCAGCGATACATCAGGCCGAAATCCGGTCATGGTCATCACCATCTCTTTAAACCTCATGGAGCAAGCGACTGAACGAATCAATCTGCTCCAGGACGATAAGCGTTTCAGTTTCCTTATCAGAAGTGAGGTGAAGTCGCGTTCCACCTTTATGATTACCCTTTTAACTTCCATCAACTGAACGGGCGAGCAAGGTGCAAGCACTGTATTCGCGTCCTTTGATGCGGCGGTCAGAAATATCGGGCCGCTGAGCCGGNGTGGTCTGCTGGGTTAACCGCAGATTTCACGTATCGCCATTGGTGCACTTTGGTCCCTTCGTGCACTACCGTCAGTCGATTGGAAACACAATGCTAAACCTGGTGCTGACGTTGTTCACATAGTGTATTACAATGACGGAATCGGTCCAGAATGTGACGCGATATTCGAATATACAGAAGCACTGTCGAAACTGCTCCGCTATGCGCACCGCTAGCACGGCCGCGGTCAATTCGAGGCGGGGTATTGAAACGCATTTTAATGAGGCGACACGGGCTTTGGCAAAAAGTAATTCGGTCTTGCGCTCGCGGTTCACGTGATGCCAACATACGCCGGCTACTGCTCCGTATCCCGTTTCAGACGCGTCGGAGAGTAAGTGCAGTTCGCCCTTCGTCGCTTGACTGCTCCGGCTGAGTCGGCGCAGGATCCGTATCTCCCCTAGCCTAATAAGGCTGGTCAACCAGTGTTCCCAATCCGTCCGGTCCTGCTCGTCTAGGGATTGATCCCACTCTGCCATTTTTCGGCAAAGTTGTTGAAGGAAGATCTTCCCCGACAACAGCCACGGCGCGACAAGACCAAGCAGGTCGTATGAGCTGTATACCGACGATAGCAACCCTCGTCGGGTGCGATTCCTCTCGGATAAATTAGTTGTAAGATGAACTCGTCTGACTCCGCGCTCAATCGCACCCTCAAGGTCGGCTCGATAGGGAGTGGCTGTGTGGTCAGTTTGAGAGCCTCACTCTATCTGTCAGTTTCGGAAACGTTGTCTAAAACTGAACATGAGTCAGACAACCATTTGGTTAAACGGAACCCCCTCTTCTTCAGTATATACTTTAGTTGCATCACGTGTTGCGAAGATTCTCTTGCGTCGTCAAAGGCGCCCAGGAAGTCGTCGACGTAGAAATTATTCGCAGTGTTAGTTGACACAGAGGAAGTTGTTTCGGCATTGCGAAGCTGTCTG